AAAACAAAATAACTAGGACTTGAAAATTAATTTTTATTTGGCCAATAAACAAAGAATTTAAGAAAAATCTTTAAAGTTTTTCTGAAAACTCTTTTTTTTTGTTTTTTTGCTTTTTTTTTTTTTTTTTGCTTGTTGGATAAGGCTAAAAAAATCATTTTATTCTAAACTATTTTATGAAAATGTACATTTTGGATAATTACCAAATGAATGAATTACATGTTAAGAGAAAAATTATTTTTTTTAAAGAAAATGCTTTTCTTTTATTATCCATTTTTTCAATTTTTAATATAATTTTAAGTTATTTTTATAAAAAGGTCGGCAGAGCTCTACCCTAGGCAAGCTTCCTATGGCTCATGATATGCTAGGTTAGGATTTATATGTCTAAAGGTTCCCAGACTATTCCTTACATCATCGTCCATTATAGACTAGTAAGGCTCATCAATTCTTACCCATTACAAGCTACTAACGAAAAGGGATCAATATGAGTGGAAGTATTTCGCTAGCAAATACGGAGATTACCACCTTACCAGAGCGTAACTACTTCACTTCCTCCTAAAAGGAAAAGAGCCCGGGTCTAGAGCTCATGCATGGGAGTGAATAAACAAAGCGTGTGCAAAGTGACATTTTAATCAAAATAACATAAATAAATCATAAACATATAATCAAAATAAAGTAATAACTAACATGCAATTTATTTTATTTATTAACTTATACGTACATATATCTTGAAAAATTAAAAGAAAGGGAATTAAATTAAATATCAAGTAAAACCAATTAAATCAACAACTATTAATAGCGCATAACTAAAATTTGGCCTAACTCTCAAAACTCCCCACTGGAGTCGCCAAGTTGTTGTAACGGTTTTGAGACTACCAGACGTAAATAATTTTAAAATCAAGAAAAAATAAGAGAGTCACCACCAATCTTTTTTAGGGTGTGATTGGCCACCAAAAAATTTATCTTCTTAATAAAACTATAAAAACGGGTTTAAAGTTTATCAAAAAGATAAATTTCGATCTATGAAAAATCAGATTATGCTTGGGAGTCGGTTACATATGGGGAATGATTAGCACCCCAATAACGCCCATAAATTGGTACCAATTAATCATACGCTAATTTCGATGTTGAATGAAATGGTTTTGTTTTGAAATTTAATACTAATTTCATTTATTAAAAAAATAAATTTAACTCTTTATTTAGGAATATTGAAGAAATCTTTAAACTAAATAATTATTTTAAAATAAAAATAACATTCTTTGTAGTAAATAATTGTTGGTGACTCTCCAACATCTAGGCAGAGTACTAAGAATTATTTTCTTCGAAATGTTATTTTTATTTTATTTTTTATAAATTCATGTTTTTAAAGTAAAAAATTTGTGTGAAAAAGTAAATGATGGAACTATCAGATAGTGAATAAAAATTAAAGGCATAAACACACAAAGCAAGTGCAAACAATGGTAAATAGATATGTATATGCCAACAAATGTTATGCATGATGGTGAAATGCAATTTAAAAAATGGATTCCTAAATATAATGAGATTACCTTGACTCTCTAACATCTAGGCAGAGCTTAAGTGCGACGATTTATACTTAAGATCTCATTTTATTAGTATAATTTTATTATTAATCAGTTATTAACCCCATTGTTAAAGCGAATTAAGGATCCGCCTGAAAAACTTAATGAAATAAAGTTTTCTAAATACCACATCATCTAGGTAACATTCAGGAACAAATTACTCTATTTGAGATTTTCACATGTATCCTTAGAGTTTTGAAATGGTTTTAAGTATAGGTTTAGGTTGAGGTTTTAAGATTTGGTGACTTTCGGGTGATGATTCGAGATTGTGTGCCAAATTTGAGATTTTTAAAATTTGAGTTTTTAGGTTTTAGATTTTAGGGTTGGGGATTTTGGATTTTAGGGTTTCAATTTTGGGATTTTAGGTTTGGGATTTGGAAGTTTGAGGTTTTGGATGCTTGGGGTTTTGATCTTAGGTTTGGAGGATTTAAGGTTTAGAAATTTAGGGTTTCAATTTTAGAGTTTTGAAATTTAGGATTTGGATTTTAGGATTTAAAAATTTTAAAAACACAAACATCTCTAAAAATTTTCAACATCTAAGTGGACTTTCAAAGCAAGTTCGATTTTTACGACTTTTGAAAATTAATTAAAAAAACTTTTTATACTTTTTTTAATGAAAATTTATTATTATTATATTATCAATTTATTATTTTTTAATTAATTATTAAAAAAAATTTATACTTTTTTTAATGAAAATTTATTATTATTATTATTATCAATTTATTATTTTTTTAATTAATTTTTTTATAATTCTCCAATATTTAGGCGAAATTATATTTTAGGGTTTGAAGTTTTTATTCCCTCCAACATCTAGGCATGAAAAATAAAAAAAAATATTTTATTCTTATTATCATTATTTTTTAGATTATAATTATTTTTTAAGCATTTTTAGTTTTTTTTTGTTATTATCCTACTTTGTTTTCATTTTATTATTATTAAAAAAAATCAAATATTTATTCTAACAAATTTAAAAATTTATCATCCATGACTATTAAAAAAAATAAAACTAAAAAATAATAAATATAATAATATAAAAAAAAAAGAAAAAATACCTGAACTAAACCAGTCAACGCTAGTTCGACCGGTTCAAGTGGTTCAGCGGTTCGATCCGATTGAATCGAATGAGGAGCAATTCAATTGAACTGGTTCAAGGCTAGTTGAAGGTTGGGTCGTACGAATCCCGAGTCGGGTTCGGGTCAATGCGCAGATCCTCCTTTGTTAAAACTGCGTTATTTCAAGCCTCTCCCTAAACGATGTCGTTTCATGTTTCAGCCTTCTAGCAAACCATGAATTTTTCTAGCCCCTCATCCGGTTCAACCAGACCGAACTACTAAACCACCCAAACCGGTCGAACCAGTGTTGACTGGACCATTGACCTGTTCGGTTCAGATTTTTTTTCATTTTTTTCTAATTTTTTTTATATTTTTATATTTATTATTTTTAGTTTTATTTTTTAATAGTCATGCATGATAAATTTTTAAATTTGTTAGAATAAATATTTGATTGTTTTTAATATAATAAAATAAAAACAAAGTAGGATAATAACAAAAAAAATACTAAAAATACTTTAAAAATAATAATAATCTAAAAAATAATGATAATAAGAATAAAATAATTTTTTTTATTTTCCTTGCCTAAATGTTGGAGGGAATAAAAACTTCAAATCCTAAAATATAATTTCCTCTAGATGTTGGGGAATTATAAAATAATAATAATAATAATAATAATAATAATAATAATAATAATAATAATAATAATAAAAAATTTTCATTAAAAAAAAGTATAAAAAAATTTTTTAATTAATTTTTAAAAATTGTAAAAATCGAACTTGCTTTAAAAGTCTACCTAGATGTTGAAGATTTTTAGAGATGTTCATACTTTTAAGATTTTTAAACATTAAAATCCAAACCCTAAATTTCGAAACCCTAAAATTGAAACCTTAAATTTCTAAACCTTAAATCCTCCAAACCTAAAATCAAAGCCCCAAGCACCCAAAACCTCAAACTTCTAAATCCCAAACCCTAAAACTAAAACCTCAAATCTTAAACTCCAAAATCGAAATCTTAAAATTCAAAATCTCAAACCCTAAAATCGAAAACCTAAAAATAAAAAATTCTAAAAGCCCCGAATTTGGCACACAATCCTGAATCATCACCCGAAAGTCACCAAATCTTAAAACCTCAACCTAAACCTATACTCAAAACCATTTCAAAACTCTAAGAATACGTGTGAAAATCTCAAGTGGAGTAATTTGTTCTCGAATACCGCCTAGATGATGGAGTTTTTAGGAAACTTTATTCCATTAAGTTTTTCAAGTGGGTCCTTAATTTGCTTTAACAATGAGGTTAATAACTGATTAATAATAAAAGTATAATAATAAAATGAGATCTTAAATATAAATAGTCATACCTAAGTTCTGCTTAGATGTTTGAGAGTCAAAGCGATCTCATTATATTTAGGAATCCATTTTTTAAATTGCATTTCACCATCATGCATAACATTTGCTGGCATATACATATCTATTTACCATTGTTTGCACTTGCTTTGCATATTTATGCCTTTAATTTTTATTCACTATCTGATAGTTCCATCATTTACTTTTCACACAAACTTTTTACTTTAAAAACATGAATTTATAAAAAACAAAACAAAAATAACATTTCGAAGAAAATAATTCTTGAAACTCTGCCTAAATGTTGGAGAGCCACCAACAATTATATGCTACAAAGAATGTTATTTTCATTTTAAGGAATATTGATTAAATCTCAAGCAAAAAGAGTTAGTTTAAATTCTGCTTAGATGTTGGAGAATTTTAAGATAATTCTTTAGCTTAAAGATTTCTTCAATATTCCTAAATAAATAGTTAAATTTATTTTTTTAATAAAGGAAATTAATATTAAATTTCAAAACAAAGGCATTTCATTCAACACCGAAAATAGCGCATGATTAATTGGTACCAATTTATGGGTGTTATAGGAGTGCTAATCATTTCCCATATATAATCGACTCTTGAACCCAATTTGATTTTTCGTATATCGAAATTTATTTTTTTGATAAACTTTAAACCCGTATTTATAATTTTATTAAAAAGATAAATGTTTGGGTGGTCAATCACACCCTAAAAAAAATTGATGACAACTTTCTTTATTTTTCTTGATTTTAAAATTTTTTACGTCTGATAATCCTAAAACCGTTATGACAGTTATTATAAATCATATGATTGTGAGGCGTGGTTAATTAAAAGAGATAATGCATTGAGCATCTGCTTATCTGCTTTAGTAAGGGCACAAGAGATAATATAAAACATTTTTTTTTAATGAGCACAAGAGATATTATATGCTCCGATCATCAAGAAAATGACAAGTGAATATAGATCGAGCAGCAACATCATCATCATGACATGTACCTAAAATCATGAAAAATAAAAAAATAAAAAAAAAACGAGGCTAAAACAGGAAGAACATAAATTCTCTATTAATCGTCTTGCAGTAACTTCTTGAGCAGTTCTTGGCAACCATCTGCTGCCTTCTCCTGGAGGAATCCCATTGCATTTGCATAATGAAGGTTGGCAATGGCACCATTACTGCGGGTGAGAATAACAGTGGCCTTGTTACGTCTAGGATCCGCAATCTTGCAGCTGGGAATGGGGCTGCTGACAAGCGTAGCATAGCATAATTGGTCTTGGTGGTCATCTTCAACCAAAATGTTATATGTTCCAGTTGAGTCGGTCAGTGCCCCAATGCTGTATTGCAACCTTAAAGTTATCCTGTCATAGCAATTGATTTCCACCCTTGCACCTAAAATAAAGGAAACCAACAAAGTTAAAAAAAAAGATTGAACAGTAGGGAACTGATCAGAGAGATTAAACATTGAATAAAAACAAACCCATAACCGAAAGGGAAACATTTATTTGATTATTCTACCAGGTATGTAAGTGCATTTGGATGTTTCAAAGCCAGCACGGCAGGCATCACAGTAAACTTTGCCGATGATATGGAAAGGCTCCCTGCGTGCATTAATGAGCAGAGGGAGAACACAGATAGCAAGCAACAAGAACAACTTAGTAGCCATTGTTTTGATTTGAGAGCAAGAGGTGATAGAAAAATGGCTTACCCAAAGAGAAGGAAAGATCGAAAACAAAAAATATAGGGGGGGGGGGGGGAAGAGTGATATTTTATAGGGTTATTGGCCTTATTCATGTGTCAAATTTGTTAGTTTTGGGGACTTCGAAGATGGTCACATGCACAAACAATATTGAAAGATTTCCGCATCTGGTGGCATTTTGTTCTCAAATCAAATCCACTTGCCAAATCCTTCGTTTGCGCCAAATTTTGTTTATGGAGTCTGCAAAATATAAATTATACTACCATAATAACCAGCAATGTATGAAAAATGAGATGCTTGGATACATTAACCATCAACAAGTAACTCACAAGTTATATCTTTGTGGCTAATGTGCTAGCAATTCTGAAATGGAAATTTTAAGCCTTGATGCCCAATTGTATTTTATTAAAAAAAAATCGAATTCAGCTTCTTTAAACATCAAAAATAAATAAATATATATAATATGGACTTATTACTGAATTAAAATTTTCAATATAAAAATACTATAAAATTCTGGACTTTTTACTAGGTGTGAGTCCAAATTGAAATACCCTACCCTGAAAAAAAAAAAAAAAAAGCTTCCCTATCATTGTCTCTAGCGTATTTATTAAATTATTTTTTGTATAAAGCACACTAAATCCTAAATTGATTTAATATCATATTTTAAAAATAATTGTATGAATTAAATTAGTTAAATTTTAGATAAACTTATTTAATTTCAGTTTGAAAAAGTCCGACCTAAATAAAGATACAACATTGTTCAATCCATGATCTCATTCCAAATTAATTAAAGCCTTTACGCCATTGATTAGCGATAATCCGAGACATGTAAGCTGCATTTCAAATGTACTAAAAATGCATAATTTACTAGCCTGCCCCAACCAGCAAAAGGTTAGAAACTTTAATATACATGTGCAAATCCGAACTTAATGGAAGGGAAAGCATGAAAAAAATATAGCATGTCTAAACAACATCACTCTAAGACATAAAAAATGAAAAAAGCTATGATCGGTTTTGACTTAATATTTTATCAAACTTTAGTTATTAATGTAGACTTTAATGAAATTTGTGGATCCCGAAACAAAACCACCGTATTTTGCAATTTTTTTTTATAAAAAATTAAGTGGCTAAATATTTATGAAAATTTTAAGATGAAGAAGATGCAGATCATGTGCATGACCCGTGCGTAAAACTTGGATCATTGTCAATGACAGCATGCATCACATGAAGGTCAAAAACAGGCATGATTTTTTTAAAATGGTAAAGAGTCTTAGGGGTCTTAATTGAAAACATTAAAATGAATGTTGCTAAAACATAAAATCAAAAACCAATAAAATTTAAGAGATTATATTTTACACGTTATCAATAAACTTTTTTAATTTTATAAATGAAATTAAAAAATTAATATTTATCTCAATTTTTTGAATTAGTTATTTTTAATATATCATAATGATATGTATCATTAAACCTGTTTATAAAGTCTAAAACCCTCACAGCAACGAATGCAAAAATTTTTCAAAATTTAATCATGAGTAAATAAATAAAATGTAAAAATAAGGTTATTTGAAAATAATAATAATCATGTAGAAAATCAGGTTGTCAACCATGAAAATTTTATCTTCTTACTCTTTAATCAAACATTTATTGGATAAGACATTAAAATTTTTCTAAATTTTTACAAATAGAATTAATTAACAAGCTTTCATATTTATATATATATATATATATATATATTGTCGTAATAGTTTTAGAGTCATCCGATAAATTTAAAAATAACATTAAAAAAAAAACGAAATCATCATCAATTTTTTTTTATCATATGCGATTGGTAACCTATTAAAACAAATTCTTTTAATGAAATTTTAAGATTAATTAAAATTTATTAAAAAAATAATTTTATAATTTACAAAGTAGTTTGAGTTCGAAAATCGATTACGTGTAAAAAAATATTAGTGCTCCCACAACGCTCATTTAAAACGGTATCAATTAAAAAGACGTTATTCTTTGATTTTAATAAAAACAATGTTAGTTTTGATATTTGAAAAATAATTTGGATGACTTCTTTTGTTTATTGAAGTTTTATTTATTATTATTATTATTATTATTATAGTTGTTGTTGTTTTGTTTTATTCGAGAAAAATAAATTAAAATTTTTTTTATTAAAATAATTCTTTAAATGCTCCAGTATATTAGTAACATTAAAAAAATTCTTTTTCACCTAAAAATTTTTTAGGCATTAATTTTCGGAATACTTTAGAAACTTATTATTAGGGATTCGTATTTTCATTTTCGTAAAAATGAAAACATACATGTAATGCAAATGACAATAAGTTAATGAAAAAATTTTATTTTATTCCTAAAAATTTTATTGATTTTTTTTATTTTTGATGAAAAGAAAAATTTTTATCATATTGAAATTTTTTTATAAATGCTCCAATACACTGATAATATTTTAAAAAAAGCTTCTCACTTAAGGATTTTATAAAGCATCTCTATTTGAAATACTTTTAGAACCCTATTATTAGCTAAAATTTTCTTTTCCCTCATTTTTTTATTATTTTATTTTTAATAAATTAGTTTATTTTTATTTACCATTTTATAGTGAAAAAAACATTTTTATTGTATTGAAAACTTTTTATAAATACTCCAATAATTAGTAATATTTAAAAAAAATATATTTTCACCTAGAGATTTCACAGGTATGACTACTCATAATACCTTTAAATGTCATCATCAAATAAAAATTTTCTTTGTTTACATTTTTACTAATTTTTAATAATTTTATTAATAATGTTTACTATTTTTTATTTTTAATTTTAAAAATTTTCAAAGGTTAGAAACCATTTTTTTATTATTGGTATCATAGTCATTAATTATTAATTATAATTTTTTTATCATTATTTTATAAGGTGTATTTCAAATTTTAACAAAATTATAAAAAATTTTAACTATATATTTTATTATTTAATTATTTTTACTTTATTTTTACTAATTATTATTATAAAAACAACAAGAATTTATTCTACCAAACTTAAACATTTTAACATACACAAATATTAATGATAAAAATTCAAATAACAAAAATATTCAAAAACAAATCAAAAAATTCTAAAAAAATTTTTTACTTAAACCGAATTGATCAACAATTTGATCAACACCGGTTTGAGTCAATTATGCTAGACCGATTAGTCATTAAAGAAGGAGTCGGTTAACGAGTTGCTGTGCAAACCTCAGATTGGGTCGTCAGGTTGACGCGTGGATCTTTAAGGGCCAAAATGATGTCATTTTGACTCTTTTTCAAGCAGTGTTGTTTTGTTTTTACGTCTCCTATATAAAAAGCCCTAAATTTTTTTTAGCTCATTTCCTTCTTACTCTTAAAAAAAAAAAAAAAACTCAAAAAAACTTTCTCCTCTTCCTCCTAACAAATCCATGGGTCGGTTGCTACCTACCATGACGATCGCCATGCTCTTTGCCTCTAATGGTCATAGCTATAGTGCCGATGAATAAAAAAATAAAAAAAATTTTAGAAAATTACCAAACCTCATTTTACCCTTTAAACCCAAATTTGACCTTATTTTCTTTTTTCTTTAAAAAAAAAAAAATCAATCGACATGAATTAAGTTGAAACCTTTTAATTACACCAAAAAAATTTTTTTTATTGTTACTAGCACTGCATACCCTTTTCCAGGGGTTGTGTCTTTTTTTTTTCTTTTCTTTTTTTGCTTTGGTTGTGGTATTTTGGTTTTTGTTTTGGGTTTTAACAAAAAGAATTTTTTTTGGTTCGACAAACTTCTTTTTTTTTTTTTTTTCTTTTGGCAAGGTTTTTTCTTCTTTGGGTTTTTTTTTTTTTGTTAGGATTTTCCCCTTTTTTATGGGTTGTTCTTGGATCCTTTTCTTGTTTGATGGGTGCTCCATTTATAGAGCCAAGCAAGATCTCATATCCCAGAAAATCTGAGATTTTTTTGTTGAAAATTGGCTCAAGGTTAGACCGGTGTCAGAGGCTTGTCGATGACTATCAGTGCCACTGTTGGTGGTTGGGATTTTGGATTTTAAAGATGAGTGTATTTAATGCACCAAGACTTTTGGCAGAAAAAAAGCCAAAAAAAAAATAAAGAAAAATAAATAATACTACTAATAATAATAAATAAAAATAAAACAAAATAGGTGTTTACATATATATATGAGTTTATATTTGATAAATTATCAATGTATAAACTTTATAACTATAGTAAATCGAATGATGTCACCAAATTAATGAATAAATATCAATTCTTAAAATAAATATATAAAAAATTAATATTTTTTAAAAGAATTTACTTATTAATGAGCTGATATCATTTGATTTATCTCATTAATGAAGTGATATTATCCGATTCACTAACAGTATATAAAATCTATATACTAATAGTGTGTCAAATATAAATCTTATATAGATATTAGATAAGTTGTTAAAACTTGTTAAATATTATTCAAATTCTTAAAATTTTTGCATATAGAATAATATGTTTAATTAACAAGCTTATATCAATTTTAATTTTTATTTACTTTTCGATTAAGAACTTCATGAATATTATTTAAGAAACTCTATTTAAATCATATTCATAAAAAAAAAGAATAATTAGGGAGATAAAGTAAAGCATAGAAATCTTATAATTGAAATTTGAATGTTATAAACTCATTCAAAAAGCATAAAGACGGAAACAAAATAAAAAGAAAAAAGTTGTTTTTTTTTTTACAAGTTCGAATTTTTTTTGAATTGAAACATTTCAAGTTAAAATCAAGTTATAATGGGTTTTAATCATGTTAATCTTGATATCGAATTAATTATTTTAAAATAGGATTGTTTCAAATTTCAAAAATTTTCATATTTAAATAATTTTAAATTCAAATTTAGTTGAATTTGAATATAATTTTTTGCAAAAAAAATTTTTTGAATTGAGATTCATTGTATTTCTACCACTTTTACTAACAAATTTAATTTTTTTAATTTTTAATTTAACCATAAGTTTTTTGTTTTATTATTTATCTAATTAAAAAATATTATGACTATAATTTTTTTTTGAAATCTTAATCTTTAAACGTCATTCCAAAATTGATTCAAAAGTTAATAAATATAATTAATAAGAGTGGAGACATGTTTGGACGTAGGTAAAAATTTTGGGTTCCGAGTCATAATCTCCCTTGTACAAGAAAATATAAAATTAAGCCTGTTACCTTGAAGCAAGCCGAGGGGCCTGCAAGCCTGCGAGTACTAATCAGGCCGAACCTTGGCACTTGGCAGTTCTAAGCCTGTATGTAACAGGGGTCGCAGAGAATGAGACAATATTCAACCTGTGCCTATATATAACTGTTATTCAAAATCAAAAATTTTTTATTTAAAAAAAATACCTTTGCTGTTTCCTGCTAATCCCACACCTTGGGCGGCCAAAAGTATAAATTTTCCCTTTTTAACTACCAAATGGGCCAGCAATTGTCTTGATGTCATTGTAGGATATGGCTGATCACCTAAGGTCTTAGCCACCATCTCAATGCTTGTAAAATTCTCAGATGACCCCTTTTTTTTTTAAGATGGGTGCTGGCTGGAAGGGTTTTTGCCTCTGTCTGTTAGTGAATATTGAAATAGCGACTTGGTGTAGGAGATGTCAGATTGTTTATGCAATACCCATATGAACTTAGGCACCAGCTCCAAAGAGAAAGCCTAGCTTTTCAATAGAAACAAAAATAAAATAAAAGCTTTCCGGTTGCTTCAGTCTTTGCTCTTTGAGCGGATCTTTTTCTCAATTGTCAATGATATTGCAGCTTTTTGGTCAAAAAATTCCAACTTACAATTGTAACAGTTTTTTGGCGAAAAAGTTTTGATAAATGAAACTAAAATTTTAGTTATTAATTAAGGGTTTTATAATGAATTTATGTTTCATATATTATTATTGTATAAATTTTATTATATATTATCAATAATTAAATTATGTTATTTCATTAACGAATAAATATCAATCTATAAAATAAATATATAAAAAAATTAAAATTTTTTAAAAATTTATTCATTAATAAAATAATATCATTTGATTCATCTTATTCATTAATAATGTATAAAATTATATATAAAAAAATGTATATATAATCTTTATTAATTCATAAAATGATCATATTAAATAGTATCTTATCTCAATACATTGAAATTCATCACATTTATCTTGCTAAAAACAATTTTTTTAACTAATTTTAAAAATTTTGATATTAAGAATAGGGATGGGATTATTTGGATTCGAATCTTAGCATTTGTGCTGCTAAATCAAGAGACGGTCAGTGGTAGACAATTAACTTTTAAAATTATCCTTAAAACACTGTTAACAAAATTCTCTTACTCAATGAGAAAGGGTCTAAACAAACAATTGGCACAGTCACAATTGTTAGGTACTTCCTACATAGAGCTTGTGGTTATAAAGAAATCAGATGACTTTTCACCATAAATTAAACAGCCTATAAATATATAACGATTTAAAACCTAATTTCTAGCAATCAACTGTCTCCTATTCTTAGCATTTAGCATAATAAAAAGATTTGTATTTTAACTACAAAAGGGATATGTAATGGTAGTAACAATGGAGCAATCGTTCTCAAACTTGAAATCTTCATTTTAATGTGGGGTTTGGTAATTTCCATTTTCTTCCAAAAATGGGGAGAATGAAGGATCACATGAATGATATAATACGTACATGTGACAAAATTCATCCATATTATAATTATGTGTTGATGGACAGATGGATTTAAATCAATTTTAAAAATTTGTGTATAAAAGTCACACATAAAAGAAATATACATTTTTGTAATTTAGGTCAAGCTGCAATTCATTTTCAATTTTAAAAAATAAGATAATCTGTTAATAAAATATAAAATTTTTAATTTTAATGATATTTAAATTCCAACTTCAACTATTAAAAAAAAAAAATCAACAACCATTGACGATTTTAGAAGTTTGGGCTCGGGCTCAGATGGGTTTATTTGAGCAAAATGGCCTTAATCATTAGTGAAAAAAAAAAAAAAAAAAAACTCAAAAGTCAAAACAGTCACTGGAGACAAAATAGTAGTTCTAGTTCGTATAATTCCTGCAACTAGATTAAAAGGACAGAAAAGTGCAGAGCAGCATCCTTTCAATTTCAACATCCCCAAAGAATTTTTTTTTTCCCCATAACTTTACTGTAGCCAACCTCATTTTCTGGCTTGCTTTGATGATTTCTTCCTGGGAATGCATTTTCCTTTTACTGCCTTGTCTTTTTTCTTCCCTTCCACTGTTTCACCAACTCCAACCTTGCAGCTCCTGATAAATCAAAATAAAAAATTAACCGAGTCAGTGTTCCAAAGAGAAAAAAATATTACTACTATAATTCACTCAGAAATTAAGTTTATTCCAATATAATCTTTTTCACTGCATTGACAAGTTCTATTTTCTTTAAGGAAAATGAACGTGCAAGTGAATTTTACCGTGAAAATGGTAGAGTTAAGCAGGAACCAAATCAATCACCTTTCTTCATTATAGGAATTGGATTTTTTGAACACTGGCTGATCAGCCACAACTCGGTTCTCTGCTTTCATTGACTCCACAATACTGCCACTGAAATACTCCTTCTCTTCAGCCTGTAAATTACCAAACCTTGGATTTTCAGACATGCAGCTTATCATCTGATCATCTTCAGTAACCTTTACTGCACTCTTATAAAAAACCCCTCTATGCAAATTTTCACCCTTCTTCACCACGGTGTTTGGTGCTACCGATTGCTTCATAGTAGGCACGTTCTTTGCTTTGTTAACAGCTAAGTTCCCACATGCAATAAGTTGAAGCAGAACAGAGTTACGACTTGGTGCTGACCCAGTGGCAACTGGGTCACCATCTTCAAACCGCTTGGAAGTACTGTTTTTGCTTTGGTTTTGTTTTTCATAGAGGACGGAAGATGTTGATAGAAGGGAAGGGTCCTGTTGAGCTGTCTCAGAAATGGTTTTTTGGGTTTCTTGGCCATTGGTTTCTTGATCTTCAAGTTCATCAGTAGAAACCCCTCTTGAGCAGCGAGAGTGAGGAGTTGTTGAGCTTGTGTAACATGTTTTCTCCTCATCTAATTCATACTCCTCCTCTTCTTCTTCTTCTTCTTCTTCATCGAATTCTTGATCTTCATATGTTGCTGTCCTTTCTGCTTCTTGGGCTCCCCTGTTTCGAGTCAGAGTAAAAGTTGGGGATTTTTGTTTGGCATGAAGGTTTGGTTCCTGAAAATGTGGCCCCCTGTTGCTGATTTGCAGTTGCTGTAATCTTTCTGCAACAAACAAATCATCCCTTCAGTCATACATTTGGATTAAAAATGTAGTTTTCTTAAACTTTCAAGGTAAATTAGGTATGGAAATTAAGTAGCTGACCAGAGCAACGATCAACCAATTCTGAGCCTTTGAGTACATATTCAGCTCCATCTGATGGAGGAATAATGTCATTGCCTGCTAAGTCATTCCATATATAACCATTCTTGTAACTCCTAACAATCAAACACTAAAATCAGTTGAAAACAAACACGAAAAGGAAAAGAAAGTCATTTGATGGTTTTAGGAAGAAAAATGGAAATGTACCTTTTGCAAGACCAAGAGTAAAGAGAGGGCATTCCTTTGCCTCTGAGAGCTGTGAGTCTGTCCATTACATCTGTGAAACAAGAAGAGAAAATTAATCAGGTGATCGTTTTAGACTTGAAGAGAAAAGTAACCAAATGGGCAGATGAACGTGTGGATTACCTTTCAAACGAAGTGGTTGATTGGCGGAATGAGTGACTTCCATGTAATGAGGATGCTCAAGCTGGCCGTTTCTAGTCAGATAGTAAACAACTTGAACTTTTCTGATGGGCTTCACGACCTTTGGCTGCATACATATTTTGGCCCTGTCTGGGCTGGTTTCTCTGGCTCTTCTACTTCTCACATCCATGTTTCCTTCACCCACTTACTCCTTCCTGTTCGCTCTTGACAAATCCTTGATTTCATTCACTGCACAACTGGAACCAAAGGGTCATTAAAAGGTGCAAACAACAGTTTTAACTTTGGATTCTTCTAGATTTTATGGTTCGTAAGAATGGCGAGAGAGAGAGAGAGAGAGAGAGAGAGAGAGAGAGAAATGGACTGTCAGTGCTGGGTCTCAGTTAATTCAGTTGAATTTTCTTTGACTTTTGGCGATGCTCTGATCCCAAACTAAGGCAAATGGAAACGAGGAAAATTGGCCGGTAGCAAACCAATTCACAGAAGCGTCAACCTTTCTGCAGTAGCTCTATATTCTAGGATGCTAAGGTCGGTGATTTTAGACTGTTGTTTTGTCAGAAGGGTTATTACTGTTCTTTGTAGATTTTCACCATGCTTTGCACTAAACATAGCAATAATTGCTTTTCATGTGAAAAAGGATTCATATAATCATTTCTTCGACAGGCTATGGCTCAATTCTGGCTTATCTTTGAGCTTCTCAATCCTTGAAATTATGCTTGAATGAAGGACCTTTCTACTATCTAGCTTCTTCAGACAATTTTTGATTGGTGAATCAAGGGATCAACCTTAAAACAAAAAACAATTTAGACTTGACGGTTTGAATTACCCATCGTAAGCATCCTAAGAAGATTGGGATGCAAAGTTGGAATTCTTGTTCTCCCTTGTATTTTCCGCATGTAATTGTCAAAAAAGAAAAACTTAGAACAAAGGAGGTCCTTTCGTTGGATGATTGCCATGATTTTTTCCATTTACAAATGTTTCTTTAATGATTTTACTTCATTAATTTCTTACCTAATCATACTTTATTAAAGCTTAAAAAAGCACAAATAATTAGGAATAATAAAATTCGAAGTATAATTTAATTAATTTATGTATTTAATCATAAAGATAAAATTTAATAAATTTAAATTTTAAATTTTAAAATTTATTATTTATAATCTCTCTCTCAATTCTTATATTGCGAGCTCCTTCGATTTTTTGTGAAAATAAACGATGAACGAAACTAATTAACTCAAATGTTTAGATCTAACTCGCTTGCAAACAAATTTATCTGCTATTGCTTCCAGATTCGCTATCTGGACAAATTCATTATCCCACACATAAAAAGCTAGCCGTTACTCAAATAATTGGCCGATCCATTTTTTTCACTAGTACGTACTGACTTGTAGCAGGCTTGGCTTGGCAACTAAGCAAATTACAAAATTTCAGAAACGAAGTGGATCTCCAACTGTGATATATGAACTAGAATTAGATCCATGTTTCGTTGTAGGACAATATTTTATTTTTTAAATTATATTTTAAATATAAAAAAAATAAAATTTTTATGTCAAAATTTATAGTGTGAATTGAAAAAAAAAATGATAAAATTTGTGTCGCAATAAAAACAGAGTCAAATAAGGCTTTAGTTATCTTTATTTAATTTAAAATAAAATAATATATAATAAATATATTTATAATATAATATAATATATTTAAAATATATATATTTATTAAATTTAAAATATAAATTTCAACACTTGATTTTTTTTTTTAACTTTTACACTCCAATTACTTCTATATAAAAAAAAACTTCTTCAATTCTCAAAACTTTTATTTATTATTTTGATAAAACGAATTAAAATAAAGTTATTTAAGTCATTAGATGTGTAAGTATTTATATTTCAAAAAATTTGTACATTAAAAAATGATAATTAAAATTTCAGCATTTATAATTTTGTTAAGTTTTATATTAGGATTTTTTATGTACAAAAAATAAAATTTAATAGATTAATCAAAATCTATGACTAAATATAAAAGAAGTCCCTGATTCTAATTTGCTGTCCAAGTAATGAATGTAATCAAAAAAATAATTTGAGGATAGATTTAGACATCAATAATGTTTGCTTTAATTTTCGCCATTTCACAAACCAATCCTTAAAAGTTTCTAGAGGGATATATATGCGAAATAGCGGGTTTTTCATTTTATGCAACAACAGAGGCGGATTGGAGGATTCCACGGTGAAAAAAGACGACGGTCAGACAAATAGCAAAGGGATTGATGACGAGCATGATGAAAAATCTGGCAGGGTCATCAGAGAAGAGAGTGGAGCAGAGGTCGGTTAACATGACGGTGCTAAGCACGACATACCCTTTTAAGATGCCAGAGACTAGGTCTCGGTTTATTTGTTTTTGCTCTTGACCCCTAAATTAAAGTTTGTTTCTTGATCTACTCTTGCGTGTTGATTATAACATGTATTTTTAAGGTGAGGTCTTTTTTATTTTGTAGTTTTGAATAACGCTTTGAAAGTTTGGATGCTTAGTATTAGACGAATGTACATAAATCTTTTTCTGATTTAGCTTCTGGTTTTTTATGTCAGTGCTTTAGGTCTTGTGGCGCATTCGGGTGGTCAATCCAATAATGTGACCCATTATTTTTTCCTGTTTCAAATCTGTTTCATCTGTTCGTATAGAAGAGCATGGTTTTGAGAGTACCACTATTGCTGACATTTTGAAAGCGAAAGGTAAAGGTGCAAATGGCTCTTGCCTTTGGATGACACTGTGTACAATGTTATGAAGTCAGTAGGCATCTTTACGATTTTTTTAATAAGAAAAAATTCAGAGATAAATATATTATTTATATTTTTTAAGTTAAGATAAAATATATCATATTTAAGATAGATGATTAATAGTCACCGATAAATTTTAAATTCAAAATTTTTTTATAAAAAAAAAATAATTTTAATTAATTAAATCAATCACTTATTAATAATATTTATATACATATTTAATCCATTCATTTCTTTTTAGATCACTCGACAAAATGTCGGTGCCTTGAAGTTGTAAATCTTGGGAAGTAAAAATCAATTGCGAGTATCATCACGGAGAGAGGTATTTAACCAAAATATACCTTTATAAGATGAATTAGGCACCAAGACATTTCAAATTTTGAATGAATGAAGTATTCAAAATTTTCCTGTACCTACAGGGTTATAGAAGCAATGAAAAAAATATTCATGGTTTACGAATCTTCCTATGCTAGGTCTTTTCTGTTATTTATTGAGCAATATTATTAGTCAGAGAGAATAGGACAAAACTAAGGATTCTATGATTCAAATAGTTTTAACACCTTGATATGCTTTCTAAGGATTTTGCAAAACTATAAACCAAGTTATAGAGATAATCAAGACAAAAGATTCGAAAGCCCCCTTCTTAGAGACAAGAGATTCAGAAGCCCCGTGGGTATTCGATTTCCCTTCTCCTTTCTCTTACAAAAAAAAAATCCAAGTTAATATATATGTATTCTTTATGTAGACATTATGTTGCTTTTTCTTTTCTTTTCTTTTCTTTTTTGAATTGGAATTTTTTTCGTGTAGAATGCTACACCACAAACGTGCCCTGTTGATCTTAGTGGAAAATGTGCTGAGGATAGTGAATGGGAAAAGGAATTTTTCCCTGGAATTCCTAAAATTAAATATGAGGTAAAGACTATTAAATCCCAATAGTTATGCAAAAAAATTGATTGTGTTTGTTAATAAAAAATTTAAAAAGGGTTTATTTTCTTTGTGGAGATTTTATTAGAAATAAAAAATATGGCTCTCAAAACAAACATAATTGTGATTGTCATAGCTTAATTATTCAAACATTATGAAATGTAACTACAATTTCGACTTCAAGGTCCTCTTAGCAAAAATCCACTTGTATACAAATGGTATAATGCAGAATAGGAAATTTTTGGGAAGAAAGTGAAGGTCGGTTTTCATTCTTAACTTATGTGAGATTTATCAAGATGTTGATGGTTGTTGACTAGACAAAAATGGTGTAGGATTGGTTGAGATTTAGTGTTGTGTTTTGATAAACTTTTCGTAGGATAGGTGTCTAGACACTCAATTTTGTTCAATTGATTTGAATTTATTTAATCTTTTAAGCATGATTTGTATATTTTTATTTAAGTCAGTTTAAGTGTTAAATCGAATTAAATTTGTTTGAACTTATTTTGAATTAATTGTTTTTAATTTTATTTTATTGTTATTATCATTTAGAATTAATTTAATTAATTGAAAATTTACAAAAAAGTATATTATAAATAAATAATTAATTAATCAAATTATAAAAAAATATAAAATAAAAATTAATTACAAAAAAAAAGTTAAATTACAAAAAAAAAATTAAATTACAGAAAAGGAAAAAAGAAAAAGCCAGCAAAGTGGCCAGTAGCCACTGTCACAGCAAGCCAAATGCTAAGAGCTCTGCACAGTGCACCATCCACTACCCCACGCACCAGGCCAAGATTGGCCCTCACTAGCACCCTGCCTGTTCCATGCCACAAGCGACCAAAATCTCTAGTTGGTCCTTTTTGTAAGATAATAAAATTCACATATTAAAAAAGAAGGGAAGCACCAATTTTCAAGAGAGGTTGAGGATCCACAAGAGCCCTTGATCCTAGTCCCAGTATCCCATCTTCACAGCACTAAAACCTCCATTTCTAGACCATTTTCAAGCACCCATTACACCACCCTAGAACCCAACTTTCACACCCACAAACCATTGCCTTCAACCCATCATAGCTTCCTCCACAGCCCTCCACAGTAGCTCCCTCAACCACCAAATGGCCTTCATCATCACCAGCTGACCAAAGGCCTGTACCCGTAGCCCTAAATTCCATGTCCTAAGCACCACAACAATCCTAACTCTTCCAATCACCAAAACTAGCCAAGCCAAGCCTCATCCCTAGCTATACCCAGAACAGACCCTCTATCCTAGCACATAACTAACACCCTTACTAGTTGAGCCTCAGTACCAGAACCCAACTTCAACTAAAATACACAAAACTCATCTTCATCCCAGTATATGCTAGTCATCAGTCCAAGCATAGCTTAGCCTCCTACACACGATTCTATGTCTGGCACAAACCCTCTATCTTGGCACACGTTAATCCCCAACCAAAGCCACAACCAGCTCTTTTCTTACCCATAATGGTTATATCACTAATCTTTGAACCAGAAAACCCATTTTTCCTTGACACCAACCAAATAGCCCTTCCCTTTCGCCCATGCCATTACCAACACATCATCCACCCAAAACACCAGAAAAACCCATGAAAAAACACCTAGCCAAAAAATAAAAAATATATATAAAAAAATAATACACAGTTTTCCCTTAAGTGAGAAACCCAGCACCAAGCAATAACTGTGAAACAAAAACAAATAAAAATTAGTTTCATTTTAAAAAAAAATAGGATAAAAAAGAAAAGAAAAGAAAGGCAACAAAGGCAACGTGAGTGGTGGCACCTTTCTTTAGGCAATCGACAATAGTGGAAAGGGAGAG